TATCAGAGGCAGGTCATACTATTTTGTGGGGATGGGGGGGACCCTCTGCTTTGGGCCTCCGGTGCCTGACTCAGAGTCATTACCTTTGCCACCTGGTTGGCTCTTTCTCACTGTATGCTTGTTTTTCTTTATGAAATAAGTTCTCACGTTTCCCGCTCATGATGGTCTCTGTTAGATGGCCCCCTGGCACAAACTCTGTCCTGCTACCTTCTTGCAAAGCCAATTCTCTTCTCTTGCCCCTCAGGAATGCCAAAGCATTAGACGTTCCCTTCACTGGAAGTAAGGAGCCTGGCCCAACCCCTGATAAACAACCCCACAACATTAGCCCTCCTCCACCAAACTTTACAGGTGGCACAATGCAGTCAGAAAGGTAACGTTCTCCTGGCAACTATCAAACCCAGACTCATCCATCAGACTGCCAGACAGAGAAGTGTGATTTGTCACTTCACAGAACACGTTTCCACTGCTCCAGAGTCCAGTGGCAGTGTGCTTTACACCACTGCATCCAACCTTGGCATTGCACTTGGTGGTTCCATGAAGCTCCAGGCTCACAGTTATTGTGCTGCAGTTAATGCCAGAGGAAGTTTGGAACTCTGTAGCTGCTGAGTCAACAGAGTGTTGGCGACTCTTACGTACACAGTATCCCCCTCGGCACTCTGTCACCCTGCCACTTTGTTCTGCTGTTCCTAAATGCTTCCACTTTGCAATAATACCACTTACAGTTGACCGTGGAAAATCAAGCAGGGGAGAAATTTCACAAACTGACTTACTGCAAAGGTGGCATCCTATAACAGTACCATGCTGAAATTCACTGAGCTCTTTTTAACAACCCACTCTTTCACAAATGTTTGTAAACCTGACTGCATGGCTAGGTGCTTGATTTTATACACCTGTCGCAATGGGTCTGAATGAAACATCTGAATTCAGTGATTAAGAGCTGTGTCCCAATATTTTTGTCCATATAAAAATTCATTCAAAAAGCGATTTGGTTACGTATAGTTATTCTGGAACAATCCTTTTGTATGATTATCATGTCTATAATATTGTTGTATTGTGAGTTAAATGTGATGCACATTTGATGTTGCTGTCTACCTGGCTTAGATTCCCGACTTACACATGACACTGCTGAGCAGGCCTGGCTTAGATTTCTGACTTACACATGACACTGCTGAGCAGGCCTGCCGTCGACAATCTTCTTCATCTATTAACACACAACTGTTGATAATCAGAAAGCAAAGAAGCTGTTTGGTCGGCTCTCATCGCCCCCACCTGTGTTCTGTGGGACATTTGCCAACTGCTTGGTATCTAACAAAATGTTTTACTTGGATAAAAAAATGTAAAACACTCTTTAGGACTCTTAGTACCATGTAAGGCATTTACGTGTGTTCTCAGGAGAGCAGTGCTGGATGTTCTCTAATGGCCACTGATGTCACTCTCAGCCCCACCAAGTTGTTTTTCTGTTCATGCCGGACTAAATCCATCAGGAGCCTGTTATTCAGTGCTTGAGGTTGAGATGATCGCCCTGGTGAATTGTGGGAGTTGACCGCTGACCAGCCGGCGGGTCAGTGATGATTACGTCATCGTGACTGTTCTTGCCTGTTGTCTGCGCACATCTCAGGTAAACAGCGGCGAGTCCTACATGGGTTTTGACGAAGTCTCCCCCCGATTGCAACATCTCTGCTTTGGGTGCTGCCGTGTTAGCTCTCCCCTGTCGTTTCCGGTCTAAACCAGTGACACACACATAGATCATGACTCATAATTATTGTTATGTGCTGATTGATGAGTCACAGCGCACACAACTGAAAGGCTGCATATGACAACCAGAGATATCAGGGGTATGGAGATATGGAGATGTGAGATATATGCAAGTCACTTAGGGCTTCTGCTATGCAAATAATGATAGTTTAAGCACATTTATGTACCGTCAGTGGACAAATGTATCTGGCTATTCTGGATCTCCCCACAGGGGGGCGCCTGCAGCTGTGTTTCTTCCTAAATGGACTTATGAGGTGTGGCTCCTTCAGTGAAACCGGAAATGCACACTAATTCACTTGGAGTCATGCACACACACACAAACATGCAAGGACTTCCATTTTATGATGTCATTAGGGGTATGGTGCTCATTTATACAGCCAGGTATGAGAAGCTGCTCTTACCCACGATGCCCTGTGTCCCCAGTCCCAGTCGAAGAACTTCTGGCTATGAACTGACCAGCTTCTTAACTGAGGCCCCTTCGGGCGTCTGCAGAACTGCCTGTGCTGGCTTACTGTTCCCGGCCTGTGCTGGCTTGTGTGTATTTTTATATGTATCCACAGGCATCAAGTGAATCACTAGCAGACAGGTCTCGTCGTGCGATGCCAGGACCTCTGACCAAAGTACGGTTCGAGCAAGCTCGATGTTATTGCCCTGGCGGAGGGAATTTGCACAGATGGGTAGAATTGGTAATTACTGCTGGAGCTTATATATTTACAGTCTGCCTTATATCTCAGCTCCAGATTTTCACTAATAAACCGTTTCCATCACATTAACAACCATGCGATGGACTGGTGACCCCTGAGCAAGATAAGTGATTGTAAGATAAATGCCCTTGAATCGTGTTGAACTGAAAGAGAAGATTTGGGTCAGCAAAGTTTAAATTTGTCCATAAAGTATTTAGTATTTCATTAATTTTTTATTATGTGGAAAAAAATCTGTTGAAATGATCCTTGACAGTTATGTTTTGATCTATTCAATGTCTTTATGGTTAATCTAGCGCAGCGGCCCAATGTCGTGCTGCGTGTGTCCCAGTAAGTGCAAGGAACACCGTGGACGGGATGTCAACTTATTTTCAGCAGAGTTAAGTTTCTCCAGGCTGCAAATTCAGAACAACATGAAACAAGCAATCCACTGCTTGTTCCCCATGTGTTTTGTTTCATCGCTAAACTGCCTGAACTGTTTATTAATAAAAACAAAAAAGAGTTTTTCTTCTGGTGAAAATATGCAGTTTATGTCACTCCCTTGCTGCTGCCCTGGTTACAGGCATGACGAGTTGCTGTGATAAGGACGGAGCCCCAGGCTACAGCAAGCACTGGCAGCAAAAATGTACTCTGTGTCAGAGCTGGGAAGGGGGGGGGGGACTGGGAGGGGCCGGGGAGTAGGCCTGCTTCTACACTGCCTGGATTAGCGAGTCAGGCCTTTCAGGTGTGCTGCTTTGGCCTTTGTGTGGGTTGGTGCACGCTTCCTGATGTTATGTACCCATTACGTTCCAGTAGGAACAGGACGTGGCCCAGTTTAATTAGCTACTGCATTTCACTTGTCATGGTGTGACAGATATGGTGTTTAACAATGTAATTCCATCTTGAAAATGAGTCTTTTAGCCGGGAAAACGTGACACCTTGGAAAAGCCATCCATCCATCCATCCATCAATCCATCCATCCACCTATCCTCCATCCATCCATCATTCACCACTGCTTCTCCAGCAGGGAGTCATAGTGGATCTCAGGAAGCACAGGGGACACTCCAGTGGGGTGCACATCCACACACGATCAAACACCAAAGGCAAGTTAGAGACACCAATAAACCTGAACGTGTTTTTAAACTACGGGGAAAAAAACAGAGGAAACTCAATGGAAACTCAGAGGAAACTCAATGGAACACAAGGAGAAAATCTACATGCAGTGCCAGGGATGGGAACTGACCCCAGAAACTTATTAATCTATGTTTATAACCACGGAGCCACCTTAGAAAATAAGCAGAATTAACAAACTCAACAGTTCTCGTTTCAGTCCAGAATTTTTGATTGAAATTCTCAGCTGTGCTACATTGTGCCGTGTTGGCTGGGTGTGTGCCGCAGTATACAGTACTCTCTCTCTCTCTCTCTCTCTCTCTCTCTCTCTCTCTCTCTCCTGAGCACCAGCAGGGTGACAGACCTAAAAACCCATACCTACTACCATTCTCTGCCATTCATTGTTCCTTAAGCCATTCAGAAGCTTCAATCAGTGCACTTGTCTATGTGTGAACAGTGACAAAGTCTACACAACCTGCTTATTTCATCTCATATTTGCTTCCTTTTTACTAGAGATGGACTGTAAAAGTTACCAGAGGAGCATGAAAGGCTCTGCAGAACAGGTAACATTCAGAGGGGCCACAGATTCACTGCCTGGCCAAAAAACGTCACACACTTTATTATTTTGTTGGACCGCCTTTAACTTTGATTATGGTGCACATTTGACAATGCATTGTTCCCACATGCTTAGGCAACATTATTCAACATTTTTTTTCCATTCAGATTCACATTAATTTCTCATCGAGATCTTGTATTGATGATAGGTGAGTTGAGCCACTCTGTAAAGTCTTCTTCTCCACATCTCAAAGGCCAAGACTCAGTGGTGGCCAGTTCATGTGTGAAAATGATTCCTCGTGCTCCCTGAAGCACTCTTTGACAATTGGAGCCCGATGAATCTTGGTATTACCATCCTGGAATATGCCCATGCCATTAGGGGAGGAAAAATCCATTGCTGGGATAACCTGGTCACTCAGGAGATTCAGATACTCAGCTGACTTCACTTTATTGCTGCATAACGTTGCTGAGCTGTTATAATGATCCAATCATTGGCTCTTAAGTACTTCTGATTTAAATTCAAACAGTGATGTTTTTTGGCCAGGCAGTGTATGTACTCATTGCCTCTGCTCACTCTATCGACTCCTTTAACGACCTGTTTGCTCTCTTAATGCCATTCCTGGGAGCACAGGGACATGATTGTATTTTCCTGGCAATGCAGTGTTATTTGAGTGGACGTCATGGGTGCAGGAGCTTCTGGGAGCCCCGATGAGTCAGTGAGATAAACTGCATGACATCATTCGATATCAATAGATGGTCATTGTACTTTCCAGCAGGCTACCGAACCCCCCTCCCGCCTGCTCAACGTCAATATGAAGGCTTCTTGACTGGCTCTTGCTCTTTCGATTATTGAGTATCTGAGGGTCCTTAATCCCAGCTGCCCACAGCTGCTGATAACATAGAAGACCTCACAGAAGCATGTTTCAGGTGTACAGTAGTTACAAGGCATTACTACTTGAATAGTAGCAAGAAGTTCCCACATAAACACAAAGTTCTGCTTCCCATGGTAAGTGAAGCATCCATCATAACAGGATTGTCTTTGTCTCGAAAGGTGCTGAATTACTTTGCTTTCCTTCGAACAGAATGGTTGAGTGTCAGGGCTCATTTTGAGAACCATACATTAGTCTTTTCTGTATATATGATTAGTTTTAGAAAATCACGTAAATCTGGATGCCCCTTAAGTCTTTGCTGAGTGGCGATCAGTAAGTATTTTCTGTTTGTTATGCTAGAGGTGAAAACTGTTCTGAACGATGTGTAATACATTCATTCTGTTTTACCATTAGTTATTTAAACATATGTTAAACAAAACATAGTAGCAAATAAATGTGAAAAATGTCTGAGATTTATTGTTACATGGAAATGAATATATTCACGCATAAAGTCTGCAACAGTGGTGCAGAGCTTAGCATTGATACTTTGCATCCCTGTGATCTGGGTTGGAGCCCAGCTTCCCCCCCCCCCCTGTCTGCATGTTAGGGGGAGTTAGAGTTGCCAATTGCTCATAATGATGTGGGTTGTTCCCTGCCTTGTGCCCATAGCTTCTAGGATTGGCTCTTGCTCTCTGTGACCCTGAATAGCACTAATGGGTACAGAAAATACATGGATCAGCAACCCTGTCAATAACAAATGTACTGCAGTGTTTTTGTTTACGAATCAATGAATATGCTGAGATTATTAATCTTGATTGCTGAGCAATGACCACTGTATCACCCTGTTACCCCCAATTCCTGCTGTCTGCCAGTCAATCCCAGATAGCTGTTGTCTTATTAACGAGAAAGTAATGGCTAGCTGTGACCTACAGGGATGGAGGCTGATATGGATGGATGACAGTCAGAGTACAGTCAATATCTTTTTTATGCTAATTCCCTCTTCTGGTTCACATTGCTAGTTGAAATGATAATTTGTTAGCGTTAGTGTTACCGCTGCCTGTTTGCTATCAATTGCTTTCTAGATGGACACATCCTCTGATAAAGTTAATGTGTAGGTGACTACTTGCATTTTGGATATGATAGGAGATGCACTCATGATACGTTCATGCTAGGAGTGATGAGAACAGCCTCTTCTTTGTGGAGTGTCTGTCTGACGTGGGATGTGGTGTGGCTTTTGTTGTGGTTGTTGAATATCTGGTTAGCTTGTTAGGCTAGCTTTAATAAGGAAGACTCATATCAGTTAGAGGTCATACAGGTGATTTAATTATTGCTTTTGCCAAAATGACATGCAACAATCTGCATAAGATCCATTCTTTTTTGTGACCACTTGTCTTATTTTGGGTTACAGGGGTCTGGAGTCTATGGGCGCAAGGCAGGGAAGCACCCAAAATTGGCTGCTAACGCATCACAAGGAACACTGACATATACACCTGTGGGCAGCTGGGCGACTCCAATTAACCGTAGCATGTTTAGCAATTAGCCTTAGCATGTTTTTGGGCGGCGGGGGAATCTGTAGGAAACCCCACAACGACATGCAAACTCCACACATGCAGCCATGGCAGAGATTGGACCCTGGTGCCAGAGGTGCGAGGCAACAGTGCTACCCGCTGCACCCCCCATCAGTATAACAGAAGGCTGCATATGTTCCATTGATTTATAAGACACTTCAGTAAGATTTTTCATCAATGTTTGCATTGTCTATAACTTTGGATCTCTTATTACTTGAAACGCTTCTTGAATTTCCCTGATCTGTCTGATACTTAGAGCAGTAATGGGTCCACAGGGGGAGCCCTGTACAGAGAAATGAATCAGCAAATTAAATTCTTAGCCACACAAAGCAGCAGTATAGGTACACAAACTGCACGCAGCAAGAGAAAGCAGAGCAACGCTGGCCAATAAAAAGGCATATTAGGAACATTAGGAACTAATGTTGTACTTGGGGCCTTTGACCAAGCGATAAGGGGTGGACTGCAGAGAGCGACCGGCTATGTGGCGCTCGATAATGATGCGTACACTGCACTCAGTGGCGCTCAATAATGATGCGTACACTGCACTCAGTGGTGCTCGATAACGATGCGTACACTGCACTGAGCCCGGCTCCTAATTCACTTCAGCAACTGGAAGCAATCGGGGCTGTTTGCTGCACTGTGGAGGGTTTTATCTCCCGCCGCCTTATCGTCACTTACAGCAGAGCTTTGTTCTGTCGCTGCTTTCCGCACATGCGGCGGAGTAATGAAATCTTATCTCTGAAGCTGTGGAGTCATGGGCATGGAGAACTCTACACCAGGAGCTCACCGATTTCAAACTCACAGCAAAAACATCCAGCTCGTTGGATTAAATAGGTGTCTATATTGAAATGTATAGTTCAGGCTGGTCTGGTGGTTTAGTGGGTGGCCCTGTGGCCTCGCACCACTATGGTTGTGGGTTTGATACCCACCCCTGCTGCATGTGTGTGTTCTCTGCCCATTTTGCCGCCACATTCCATGTAAAGACACAGCTCAGTGTTGTCAAAGGTATTCATAATTGTCTTGAAGTGAGGAATTATTCTGTCAATGAGGTTTCTTGTGAAAGTACAGAACTTTATTTGTGCTGGAAATCCCCGAACCCTCCAGCAAGCCCATTTACAGCAGAGGAATTTTGTTGATATCTCCCACGAAACATCTGAGTTAATGGCTAAAAGCCATGGGTCCCTCCTTTCAAAATCCGAGCGCAACGGACCAGCAGGTCATTACTATCAATCTTCACGGCCCAGGCACAAACGTTCACTCCCTCCCACGAATTTGACACTTTTCCCAGGCTCGATATACATTGCAGCACTAAACCTTTGCACATAAACTTCAGAGCGGCTTGATTAAAGCGAGCCAGAAACCTCGGCAATTTCCCCAATGTGGTTTTTCAAAAGTCATATAACACTGATAGCAGATGTTCTTTGTTGTACAAATACCTCTCCAAACAATACAGTTATTACACTGGACTGATAATGTGCATCTTCCCATAATCCAGAGAGGATCTATGAGATGAGAGAAACCCAGATCTAGTATGTGCGGCTCCAGGAAGAGCAATGCAGTACAGATTGTTCTGGAACTTCTGTGCCCCTAGTCTGTGTCATTTGACTTGCAGCCAAATCCCTACCCTGGAATAATACAGTTAAAAATCAAACATGTCCCTGTTCAGCAATTCCCACCTCTGTCCTCTTTACAGAAGATGTTTATTTCACTGGAAACTTTGGTTCACTTTTGAGCAACATACATGCCGTGAGATTTAAATAGAAATAAGGAAAAACCTGACAGACCACACCAAAATTCAGGTAAGTTATGAAACAAATCCGGAAGCGGGTCAATCAGTCAGAAACAGACATAATAATTTCACCATGGTGGCATATTAGATATTTTCCCAAATTGTTGTACGTGAGCTGTGTTGAAAAAAAAAAGTGCTAATATTCAGTGCTGGTGCCAGAGAAAATGTGACGGGGGGGGTGGGGGAGAGAGAGGTGACAGTAAAAACAGTGGTAAAAGTTGTCAACCGGGGGGGGCGGATTGGAAAAGCAGATGATCTGTCACCACAGCACCGGGAGAGAACAGGCTTGCTTTAGGATGAACGGCTAAAATTAAAATGAGATAAAAGATGGCGTCCTTGGTAGGTGGCATTTCAGGGGTAGAGTGGCTCATTTGGGCGGAGGCATGCTGACCCATCATGTCACAACTCGTGGGTTACGGAGCGGGGAAACGTGGGCAGCAGTCGGGGAGTAGGGTGAACACAGGATTTAATAAGGATAACACAACCCTCAGGAACACAAAATAACGTCAATGACCGAACTGGGGAAACATACTCTAAAGCGGACTTAAATACACAGGACTAATTAACAACAACTAGACACAGCTGGGAACATGGGGATTCCACACAAGGTAAATGAGGGGGCGTGGCACACGGGAGGATCGGATGAGCAGGGCATGACACATCACGCCAACCCTGGTAATATTACTGATTGTGCAGAATGCCGGAGAATGGCTTCCATATATATGATGTCAGGTACACGTTCATCTCAAAGTCCACCTGTCAGAGGTACTCCATCTGCATCAGGGGCAGCAAAGGCAATGTGGAAGTAACCTCAGCGAGAAGCTTCAAGTGAGAGCAGACAGACCTGAAAACAGCAGCAGGGAAATTGAAGAGCCCTTTGTCTGATGATCCACAGACCATTGCCTGCGTCTGCCAGGAAGACAAGGTTCATCTTGGAAAGAGGAGCTAGTCAAGTGTCTAATGAATTATAAAATTCTCTATAGCAGTGTGTCCTGATCCGGTCCTCCTGGACCCACAGACAGTCCATGTTTTTGCTTTCTCCCAGCTGTCTGGCAGGGAGCTCGGAGGGAGCAAAAACATGGACTGACTGTGAGTCCCCGAGGACCGGATTGGGAAACACCGCTATATACACCCAGTATATAAGACTTAGCGCATCAATATTAAATCCCAGAAAATCAATGGATCAGTACTGTAATAGCCTTATACATTCCACTCTATATGTTTTAAATGAACTGATATGAACTACATCCTCTGCAATGCTAAGATGCTTGGATGCTTGTATGGTATGAAAGACATTATGGCAGAGGGACAAGTGCAGTGATATTTTGTAGTTATGTAATTTTTCCCACAAAAATAACATTACTGAAGCAAAATTTGTTTGCGTTCCTGGTTCCTCTTTTTGCATGGTGGGTTAAAGAGGCATTGTTTTGGACGGGGGTGGCCAGTCTTATCCGCAAAGCGCCGGTGTGTATGCATGCAGGTTTTTGGGATAACCTTTAGGTCAGCTGTTCAAACCCAGGTGTGAGGATTCTTCAGCCCTCTAATTAGTCCTCTAATTAGTAATCTAGGGATTTCCCTAGTTCATTTATACTTATTTATTTCCATTTAGTTCACTCATTTGTAGCTTTTGTATTTCATAATTTTATATTTCTTTCTGTCCTTGCTACTCGCTCATCGTGTTCTTTGCCTGTCATACAACTTACTCTCACCAAGACCGTCTGACCCCCCGGCTCCGGGAGTCTGTATGAAGACCATAGATAAAGGGGCTGTTTCCCTCAGG